GTTTTTTTTTTTTTTAACGTTATGATGTTTTCATTCTCATGCCAGCAAAGACCTTAATATTGCATTTTTTGCTGATTTAGGAAGCCAATTTATAGTTAATTTATTATACTCTATAATTATTAGACAAGTAGCTATCTCGATGGGGTAACTGGGCTGTTTAAAAAAGAAACACCTCCAGAATAGCTAAAATTTTAAAGTCACTAACGGCTGCCAAAACGGGTTATAGCAGATTTCCAGAACAGAACAGATTATCTTGATCTCATTACCTTTGTTTTATGTCAAACTTAACTGCTTTCAGGGTGTAAGATTTATTGATTAGAAGCTTGTATTTTGACATAAAATTTGGGGTCTTCAAAAATAAGGTAATTTTTCCTTCATTTTCCAGGTTGAACATTGCTGTTTCTAGTTTTATGGTATTCATACCATAAAAATGCATGTATCATTGATAATCAATGATTTGGTTTTAACTCAATATAATTCATTTGAACTTACTGCCCACATAAACTAAATTTTCTATTTGAGAAATTAAAATATCAGTTAGTAAGTGGTCTCTTAGGAAATAATATTTCTACCTACTTCCTTTATAAAAACAACAGTTATGACTTTTGGAGCTTTGGGAGGTTATGTTATTTTTTTTTTATTTACCTTTTAAATGTATTTGCTATTCTAATTTTAATGATAATAAAGAGGCACAGATCAAGCACAACTAAAACTAATCAATTAGAATACTTAGATATGGATGTTCTTACAAAGAAAATTTCTTTGGAGAATATTCCTGAATATTCTTTTGTGTTTAGTTTTATTAAAAATCATTTTTAGGGGTTGGAGCGATAGCGCAGCGTGGAGGGCTTTTGCCTTGCATGAGGCCAACCCAGGTTTGATTCCCAGCATCCCATATGGTCCCCTGAGCACCGCCAGGAGTAATTCCTGAATGCAGAGTCAGAAGTAACCCTTGTGTAACACCAAGTGTGACCCAAAAAGAAAAAGAAAAAAATTTTTTTTAACTGTGTTTACCTGTTTTATAAAAATATTACATTTTTACTTGTAATTTAATTTTTTTTTTTTGCTTATCCTTGGGATTGTATTCTGCTTCAATTTTTATTTGTCTATGTTAAGGTGATAAGGGATGTTTAATTGAGTATATAGTGATCACAGGACATATGCTAAAAGTGCCTTTAGTTTGGTGCCTAAAAATTTAGGCTTTACTGCCAGAATTCTAGAGTTCAGTTTCCAGCCCTTCACTTCCTTGAGCTCCAGTTTCCTCATGTGTATAATAAGTCCTTGGGAATATTTAATGAATTAATACATTTTATTTGGGACAATGCCTCGAAAGGACCAGAGAGGCAGCATAGGGCTTGAAGTGCTTGCCTTACATCCCACCGACTCTGATTCAGTCCCTGGCACTTGGTCCCCAGACAACCACCAGGAAAAATCTTTGAACACAGAGTAAGCACATAGCTGGATGTGAACCTCGAAACAAAACAAAAAAACCTGACAATGATGCCTGGTGCATATTAAATTACATAGTAATTTTTCATAGTAATTATTTTAAAAATATAATCTTTTAAAAAAAATAATAGTGGTACTTACCATTTATGGGTCTAAAAATTTCTTTACTATATCTCAAAATACTTATATTATGCAACAGAATGTTAATACTGTGTTTTCTGAGATATTACTTTTTAAGTGAATAATAGGTCTTAAGGACCTTGATTTTTTTTCTTTTATATATTTTTTTATTGGTGAATCACTGTGAGGTACAATTACAGACTTACAAACTTCTGTGCTTTCGTTTCAGTCATACAATGGTCAAGTATCCATCCCTCCACCAGTGCCCATTTTCCACCACCAATGGTCCCAGCATCCCTCCCACCATCTCTACCTTGTCCCCCCTCCCCCCACCCCGCCTCTGTGGCAGGGCATTCCCTTTTGCTCTCTCTCTCCTTTTGGGTATTGTGGTTTGCGATAGAGGTATTAAGTGGCCATCATGTTCGGACCTTGATATTTTTTAAGTCCACTTTCACTAAACTTTATATTGAAAATGCAAGGAAGTTACTATTACAAAATGCTGATATCAGAATGGTTTGCAAGCTCCTCTTTTACTGATCTTGTTTCCTTTGCCTTTATGCCATGTAAAGAAACCGTAGTTTATATATTTTTTGATAACTTTGTTGTGTCATATATTTATTTCCTCCCTTTCCAAATATAAGCAACTGGTGTTCAACACTTGTTTGTTGACTGAATTAACTAGCATGATTAGTCACTGTCACTGTCACTGTTCTCTCATTGTTCATCGATTTGCTCGAGTGGGCCCAGTAATGTCTCCATTGTGACAGTTGTTACTGTGTTTGGCATATTGAATACATCACCGGTGGCTTGCCAGGCTTTGCTCTGCAGGCGAGATACTCTAGGTAGTTTGCCGGGCTCACAGAGAGGGGTGGAGAAATCGAACTTGGGTTGGCCATGTTGGCCACTTGCAAGGCAAACGCCTTACCCGCTGTGTTACCGCTCCAGCGCAGCATGATTAGTATGAAAATTTATTCTTTAGTCAAATCATGTCTTCATTTGTTTATAGAAACTGCAAAGCCAGGTGGGCAGCATAAGGTGAACAATTTCAATGGTTGGCAGAGGAAGCAGAAATAATTATAGCTAATACTCTTCTGTTGCATATTACAAGGAATAGGTTCTCCCAAAAGACTAATAAAAGAAATGCTTCCTGTAAATAAGAGAAATTCTTCAAGTTATTCTAGATTATTTTTGATATTCAGTTTAGTATCATGACTCCATAATCAAAGTGTCATGCATTTATTCCTTTGCAAACTGAACACAATATGACTTAAAGGAAGTTAGTCACAGCACAGGCCATTTGTCAGGTATCTATTTGTTTCCAATATCTCTGGGTAATGAAAATTGATGAAACTTTATAGGGGGTTGCAAAAACAATTTTATTCTATATTTACAAGCAGACTGAGGACTTTTATAATTTCTAAGTGGTGACACCAGTAACTTCTCATTGTAACAAAAGCAAAAATTAAAAATTCCCTAGAAAGGATTGAGCCATGTGAATAAGCATGCATACATGACATTCTTGCTGCTTCCCTTTTCCTTCTAACTTGGAAACAAGAAAAAAACAGCTAGAAAAATTTTATAAACTTTTAAAATGTTGTCCACTTGTAAACTCTAGTTGCTAGGATGGTACAAATTAAATGTGGATTGGCACTTCAAGGCATCAGATTAATTTCACTGAATTTTCTGAGGTTTTTGTTTTGTTTTGTTTTGTTTTTTGCTTTTTGGGTCACACTGAGTGAGGCTCAGGGGTCACTCATAACTCTGTACTCAGGAATTACTTCTGGCAGTGCTCAAGGGACCATATGGATGCTGGGAATCGAACCCAGGTCAGCTGCGTGCAAGGCAAACGCCCTACCCACTGTGCTATTGCTCCAGCCCCCTGAACTTTCTGAGTTTTATTTTTTTTAATTCTCTTTTTGAGTTCAGGTGTTTGTACATTATACTATCCTAATTCTTGATCATCTATTCTGCTTTAAGAGAAAGTCAGGTTGCTAATTCTCCTCCTTCTCCCATCAGCTCTTGACATAAACCTCTCCTTGGAATCTTCCAGCCTTCAGAACCCCATTCCCTCCCTTTACCATCCTTTTGCTTATTCATGTTACACTTTCCCTATATATGATTATTTGAGATGGACAACCCTTTGTATTTTCATTTATGTCTAACAGTGTTATTTGCCCTTTGGTGTTGAAGACCCAAATTTTGGGCTCATGATATTGAAGCTTAAAGTGACTATTGAGAGGGTGTAAGAATTCACTGAAATTTTAAAGCCAAAGTGATAGCTCTACCATTGGTATTCCATAGGACTAGGCTTAGAATTAATCATACTTATTAGTAAAATACTACAGATCAATCTTAGAAATTATTGTTGGGAAAGGAGAAAGGGCATTTTTAAAAATATTTTTTTAATTTATTATTTATTTATTTTTATTAGTGAAACATCTTGAGGTACAGTTGTAGACTTACAGATTTTTGTGCTTGGGTTTCAATTATACAATGATCAAGTACCCATCCCTCCACCAGTGAGAAGGGGCATTTTGATAAGCTTGGGAGAATGACTTTACGCAAAAAATTTGTTAATGTTTAGATTGGTTATTTTGTTCCTTCTTTTTGTTATTTGCTGCTCACCTTCCCCTCCTGCCCCCCCCCCCCGAAAAGTAATAACCATTTGGCACCTTTTCTCACTGTTGTCTTTTCCTGATTTCTATTACCTATGCATTCTGATCCCATATCCCAACCATGATCCTTTATGTGTTACTGCCCACTATTGCTCTGTCATTTTTTCCTTTTGTTGAAAATTACTAGTTTATTATGACTACAAGTTTCTTCACATAAATGCTGTTGACATTCGGATCAGATTTCAAAGCTGTGTTTTGTATCTTAAAAAGATTTTTTTTTAAAAAAAAGGATTTATAAAGTATTAAGTCTAAAATTCTTGAAGAACGTAATTGGTTGTTAATTCTGTTGCAACAAAAGCATTGGCATTTTATATATATTTAATTAAATATAAATTAAATATAAAATATATCTTCTCAAAATGTTTTAGCTTCAAATGTCATTTTCATTTAGCATGTTGACATTGGCCTGTACTACCAGTGGCTCACACTTAGATCTCGCTTAGTTAACACAAATTGTGGGAGCAGTGTCAATGTGTTAAACTTAAAAAATTAGTACACAAAAGATTAGAAACAAGTTTCCTGCTATTTCCCATATTTCCAATGAATATTTTAATAGACATTAGTAAGTCAGGTTGCATAATTGAATAAATGTTTTGTTTTCTGCATTATTTATTCCCTATTACTCTCTTGGTTGCATAATTTATCGTTTATACAATAGACCCAAAGTGACTTGTGTTGAAGAAAGAAGGTGCATGATGTGCTAAAAGTTTTTATGTGATGGAATTTAACCTCAGTTTATGTTTCTCCCCTGCACAGTCCCTTCAGTCTGAATATGTTCATTACTAAGGCCTTGCCACTCCGGCGAAAGCTGTTCCACTCATGCACACAATTTCTTCATCGGGATGAGCAGTGCAGATGGGAGGCAACTGCTTGCTGGAAGAATCTCTCTCCTTCTTAAGCTTAAATTAGAGGGAGCGCTAAGATAAGACCTTCAGGAGACTTGAAACCAGAGAACTTTGGCTAAAAACTACTAGAAATGCACTGAAACTATGTTTTGTGGAGATGTCAACACTTTTAAAGAGAGTTCTCACATTGAATTTGGTATTTTGAATGATTGTTTTAAATGTATTTCAGGAATACATTTGTTACTACATTTACATGTACAGTATTACATTATGTATGTATTGTCAACTTTAAATGACTATTTTGGTAAATTTATAAATACATAAAATGATGTAAAAGCTGGACTATATTTTCGCTTAGATTTTCCTGCTGTTTGCTACCAAAATTTGTATTTTGAACTTTAGTATGGTTTTATCTACAATGAATGACTAGATGACTCCTCTTTATTAAGAAAAAGGGCAAAAGATTTTAGAAAGTGATTTCTATGTTCTTGCTATTAATATTACAGGCCAGTTTATTCTTTGGGAAAATCAGTCTGGTTCAGCACATTTGTGCAAGTTTATTCTTGAGCAGGAGCGTAATAATTTGACATGGTTGATTTAGACCATTTCCTTTCCTTTGTTTTTGTTGCTGAGCCATTTATGTTTGTAGCCAAAGGGGCTTTCACTAAATTTAACATCCAGTGGAAGATCAGAACTCACTAAATATTGCCCTGAGCAGCATGGTTCATCTTGAAATGACTCAACATTCCAAATACGTTCACCCCCCTCTCCTTTTCAGAGTTCTTACACAATTGGAATATCTGATTCTGCTCCGAGGTTGTTGCCTGTAATCACATTATGTCTGGCACAAATTTTCAATCAGTGAAGAGAAAAAGATAAAAAAAAAAAAGTTGCTGCTCACTAGTTCTCTCTACTAAAGGAGATATGATTAAAGCAGATTATAAGCCCTAGACATACAAACTAGCACATCAGAAACTAACAGAAGTGAAGGGACTTCTCCCACAGGTACTCAGCCCTTTCACTGAGTGTACGTTCAGGTTTAGGCCTCTAGAAGCCTGGAGGCTCTTCTTGGAGAGTCTCAGCTTCTGATTTTACTCCTTAAATCTAGCCAGTGACAGTTTAAAACATTCAACCATGAGTTTTTTTTGTAAAGTATTTATGAGAAGGGCACACCCTGAGATTTTTATAAATGCCTCAGCAAAATATCTTGTTCACAATTTACATTTTTAAATGGCATTTGAATGAATGTTTGACTCAGGTCGTTTACCTTAACCTTTAATAACTACAGTACCAAATAATTGCACTAAACACATGAAAAATAAATTGTATGTTTTAAGCAGCAAAAAATTAAAGCACAGGGAATTAAGATGTAGGCATTTTCTAAAACTGAAATTGCAAAATATTTTATTACAAGATATTGTAAAAGAGATTGGTTAATTGTACAGGAAGAAGAAAGTATTTTTTTAAATTATCAGTAAAAGGTAATTCAGATGACATTTTAGAAGTGGGGGAAAGGGAATCATATTGACAGTTTGAGTTCTATGAACACTAGCTTGTGTGCAGCTATTAAAATGATTGTAAAATTGACTACTGTAAATTTTCTATTATTGTGTGTACATAAGTCATATGTATTTGCATGTGTATGTCTTAATATTATTTATACACATGTGGATACATAGACAAACCAAGAAATATATGTATATAATATAGAAAATATATAGCAAAATAATTCTACTTGCAATAATATTGTTTGACATGTATTTTGTTATGAATAGTTTACCTTCCAAAAGATATTTTGTTCTATTTTAAGGTGTAGAAGAATACACTGCTAATAAATAATAAAAGTTTTATTCAATTTACATATTGATTGGTTTTTATCATTTGGATTTTTGAGTTACCAATGAACTGAAATCTCTTTGAAGTTCGATTTGATTCAATGTGTGATTTGCCTTTTGAACTTCTCCAGACCACCTGAAAAAAAAAGTTTCTGAATTTTATTTTTATTTTTATTTATTCTCCAGGTTGTTGCCAGTGAGCTCTAAAAAAACTTTAGTGAATTTCACAAGTCAGATAATATCACATTCTTGTTGACTTTCTCCGGATTAAAATTTTCCTTTCTGTTGATAAGACACTGATTGTGGTTTGTGTTTCGGTCATCTACGGCTAGTGTACAATACACTGATCATCAGTTCCACTTGAGAAAGAATTTTCTTTAAGGAGAAATTATAGAAATAAATCACATGGAACAAACCTCGCCCCTCTTGGATGTACATCCTGAAGAACCAATTTGGAAGGAAGAAACTACGTTATTTATAGGAGACATTTTTATTGCATTAAACTGTTTTCTTTGGGCTGTAATGTTTCTGGGGTTTTCCTCTTCTCTCTTTGTCTATTTTAATTCTTTTCAAACCCAGGTGACATTATGGTTCGGAAGGTACTGGAGCAGGAAATCTGCTGAATTAGATGCCCTCCGTGCATAGTACAGTTAGTTCTGTAAAGGTGGCTAAAGGCTGCATTTTGGGGGCTGGGAGATAGCTCAGCTGTCCTGAGTGCATATTTTGGCAGGAGGCCTGGGTTCAAGCTAGCTGTAGCTCAAAAAACAAATAGTACCACATCTTAGAGAAGGCCATATCTTTTCTTTAAAAATTAAAAACAATTTTTTAAAATTGTACTTTAGGGGGCTAGAGCGATAGTACGGTGGTAGTGTGTTTGCCTTGCATGCGGCTGACCCAGGTTCGATTCCCAGCATCCCATATGATCCCCCGAGCACCGCCAGGAGTAATTCCTGAGTGCAGAGCCAGGATGGGTGTGACACAAAAAAGCGAAAAATAAATAAAATTGTGCTTTAGGTAAGATGTTACTGTTAATGCTTTTGGTATTTCTGTACAAAGTTACTACACTTCCCCCTCTCCACCCCCCCCGCCCACCCCCCCAGCAGAGTGTCCCAGATATCCACCACTGCCCTTATGTCATGGCTAGTCCTCTTTCTCCTTCTTCCTACTCCTTGGTGCTCCTCACTGCTTGTAATCCGTTTTGTAATCCAAGGCCAAAAGGTTTGTTGTCATCATTCCATACTATCTATTCCAAAAATGAGTGGAATTATCCAGTATTGGCCAGAAAGTGATTTCTTATGAAGCCATGAATTTGTCTAGATAAGGAAAAAAATTTTGTTTCCTATTTATTTTATGTTTATGTTTATAGTTTATAAAAAAATGTAGTAAAATAATCAACGAGTTTCAGGACCAGAGAAATAGTTCAGGGGTTAAGATGCTTGCCTTCTGCATTCTGGTTCAATCCCAACTCAGCATCATTCCCTGATCACCTCTGGGAGCAATCCCCACAAATACAGAGCCAGAATAGCCCCAAAATACCAACAGAGAATCCCCCCTTCTCGGCCAGTACCTGCCCCAAACATAGCCAGAGTAACCTTCAAGCACAGTTGAGTATGGTGTGTCCCAATGCCTCCCTCCCTTTCCCAATCAACTAGTTATGACAAATTTCTCAACAGTCGTTAAGTTTACATGGATCATTACCTTTAAATGTCAAGTGATTTATAACTTCTAAAACATCTGGAGATGCTATTCACTCTTTGTATTCTTTATTTGAATACAATGTAATTCAAACAGCAGGCTCATGAGTTTTTCAAATATTAGCTTTCCGAATGTATTTTCAAAATCATTCTCCCGGATATACTTTCTTGATAGTGTGCAATACTATGAATATGCTCAAAATTTTCACTTAAGCCAATTGTATACAGGCTAAACAGATCCTCTGTCTTGTTTCATGTCACATGAGAAGTATTTGATCTTTCCCCCAAGGCAGACTTAATGATGTCTGCAAATTCATACAGTCTGTTTGAGACTCAGCACAAGATTTTGGTCACTGCTTATCAGATGATTTAGAGATTTCCAATTAACAGAAAAGTGATACAATTTATATCATAAGATAAAACTTTATTTAGCATACAGGTAACACCCATGGCTTATAAAGGAAAGTAGAAAATACTTGTATTAAGTTATTTTGAGCTGAATTGAAATGTTAATATATTCCCACCCAGTTCCTTCTCTATGGATTGAATTATGTTAATCATATCAAGGAGAAGAAAAATAGTTTTTTTTTCTAGAGAGAATTTCAAATTTTGAGCAAGTTAGAAACATCCCCAAAGACCACTTTAAATGTAAAATACTGTTATTTGGAATTTGTTTTAAATGGAAAAGTGACCTTTTCGCTCACACATCTTTCAACTTGCATACTACCAAAAAGAGACAAATCATATCATTTGTTATTTCTTCTTTTTTTATCAAGTAAGTAAAAAAGGCATTTTTGAGAAGTTGAACTAAAAAGTGAAAACAGTCATTGTAGAGAGAATTTCAGCTGCACGTGTTTTTATGATGTCAGGCAGCTTCTAAGAATGTCCCATGAATGGGAGAGGAGAGCATTTATACACCCAAGTGTTTAGAGAGCATGTCAGAAGTTAAAGCTGAGATGAAGAGTCCTCTTAATGTCGTAGATAGCCATCATCTTGTCCTAGACTGGGAAGATGGACACTAGATATAGTTCAGTCTAGTACTCCTCAGAGAGATTTATTTACTCAAAAATTTAAAAATAATATAATGCATTCTTGTGAATATATGGTATATAAAGGCTGTATGCTATATAAAGTAGAGCTCGAAGTCTTATGGACCAATGAAAACTTTGTGCTTTTTGATTAATTTGACAAGAGTAGTCTTGTGTTCTTAGAAAAAAAAATTATAATATTTTATAGAAATATTTTATTGCTGCAATAAATAGAAATAGGAGGAAACTTTTGGAGGTGGTTGAATGTTTTATGGCCTGGAGTGCAGTGGTAATTACAAAGGTATACTTATCAACCTCCAAATTAAAAAAAATCAAATATTAAATTTATAGTGTTTTGTGTCAATCATTGCTCAATAAGGTAGTTGATTTTTTAAAAAAGATATGATATACGTATGATTGTCATATGTATGATTGTCAATCTTGATATTCAGAATCTCCAAAATGTTTATGCCAGATCCATAGAACAGAGTTCAGGGGGAAAGTTGAACCAGAGACCAGAAGAGTCTGATAGTACCTAAATATTTGTCTCTGATTTGTTTTTTGACTATAAACTGGTCTTTAAATAGAAACTATAAAGTATAAGTAGGCCTTTAAAAAATGAGACATAATATAAAATGAAAGACACAAGGGTCTCAGAGACTTGAGATGAAAAGATTAAATGTTAAATACACTTTATTTTAATGTAGATAGAAGTCACAATTGATACAGTTCTGGAGTTGAAAATGATTAGATAACAAAGCTCCAATATTAAAATCAGTAAGTACAAAAAATCATTTTTCAATGAAAAATTGTTAAAGCTGTTAATTGTTAACAGGGTTGTTCAGTCCTTGACTAAGAATTAGTAAGCTGTTTGTTGCTAGTTGAATCTTCTGTGTTACTGTTTCCAAATACATATTTTAAAATAAAAAGAACTTAGGAGGAGATGGGACTGTTTTCTAACATCTCAATTTCTTGAAATAGACTTACATTTGAAGAGAGGGACTGTCCCAAGAGACATAGTTCAGGCAGAGTTTTGCATTCCAGAAAGAGGTAAGCAGTGGGCTTTCATGAAGCTTGTGATGTAGAATAAGAGCACAGATTGACTTTCCTAATTTGAGGGAATGCACAGCATTTCATTCTTTCCTTCTTGGCTAACTTTTTGTTTTGTTTTGTTTTAGGGTCACTTAGTGGTGCTTAGGGCTTCCTCCTGGCTCTGTACTCAGGACTCACTCTGGTGGCCTCAGGGGAACACATGGGGTGCTGGGGATTGAACCTGGGTCTACCTCATGCAAGACAAGCAACTTGTCCACTGGACTATTACTCTGGCCCCTTGGTTAACATTTTTTTATTAATATCTTTCACAAGCTTAGAAGCCAATCAGACTTTCTGCTGCTTGAAGCCTGGCTGTTGGCTTGCTTTGCTATTTGATCACTTGCCCTCAATGAGTGAACAAGGAAGAAATGGCCAGGGGCCACTTCAGAAGCAGCACTGCTGGTTGCCAGACAGATAGTACAGCGGGTAACACACTTTTCTTTCACTCTGTAGACCAGGTTCAATCTCTAGTACCATATATGGTCCCCCAGCAAAGCCAGGAGTGATCCCTGAGTACAGAACTAGGAGTAAGTTCTGAGCACTGCCACGGTGTTTCCCTTTCCCTTCATGCCCCATCTCCCACCAATAAAAAAAATCCATAAAACATGTGCAAAAGAGACTGGTGGCAGAAGGCCCAGTGCTCCTGCGCTGTGTACAGATTAGCAGCGGGGGTCCCTCTTTGATTCCATGTAGGATTTCCTGAGGCACGTTGCCCTTCCGACAGCTGTGCAGGCATGACAAGAAGGACTATTGAACGAGACTTTGCTAATGGAACCAAGCAATGAATTGAGACTGGAATACATGGAGCTATTTAGCTGTCAAATTTGTTAGGCAAATTAGCCTCAATTAAAGATTCCTGTTTGTGACAGGTAGTTCATTTATAAAGGTAAGCCCAAAGAGGAAAAGTTCACCCCTTCCGGTCTAAAGTCGAGGTGACTCAGTTGAATAAGTCAGGAACCTGTTATCAGCTAGTCTGGAGTGAGCGAGTGTGATCCATCAGTGAATTTCAGATAACTAAGCACCTAAGTTTCATTACTGGGGACTGGTCATGTGAGTACCCTCTTGCCTAAACAACTGAACTTCTATTCATGGGTTCTATACCAACTTTACGGTTTGGATGGCCCAGGCTGGGTTTCTCAGTAGCGGACCATGAGGAGCTCTTTGGGCTCCGATTGAGAAATGAACCCATTCCTACACTGATCACAAGTAGCAAACA